GACTAGAAATCAGTGGTTAAGTTGTATTTACAACACTGTTCCAGAACAGTTCCACCCAAACATTCAGACGTGTGCAGCACATTTTATGGAGGAATGGTTCCTGGGAGAGTAGACAACAATGCCGGCTGTTCTGACTCACAGACTGCAAGTACGTTTTTTTATATTTAAAGAATTTGCCACTGATGATTCAAACTCGAGTTTTGAGCAGTGTAGAATAGGGCTTGTTGTTTGTCATTTCTTGACATTTCCATGCAGACATGGTTTTATGTTTACGCGGCGCGATGCAACGCAACGCGTAAAAAGACAGTATAAGTCATTCTAATCCATAATTATGTCTCCACTGGATGCAACGAATGCCTCGTTTATAATGGGTTTTATTGTTTTTGAATCATCGCTCCGGCCTGACAGGGCATCACAGTATGGTAGGGGCGTAATATTTCAGTCACACGCTTGAGGTATTCGGCCAATCACAACGCACTGGATAGCTGGCCAATCACAGCACACCTCGCTTTTCAGACCGATGAGCTTTGTAAAAATCGATGAGTTTCAGAAAGGCGGGGCATAGAGGAGAAACAATAATGTACAGTATGTGGAAAATAATGTGTTTTTTGAACCTTAAACCACAAACACATTTCATTACACCAAATACACAAAATAATGTTCTTTTCAGCAACATCATATGACCCCTTTAATCAAAACACAGTAAACTGCTTTTAAGAAGCCATTACTCAGTATTCAGTGCATCATGACCTTTCAGAAATCTTTCTAATGAGCTGATTTGGTTCTCAAGAAACATTTCTTATTATTAATTACGGTTGAAAAGTTGTGCTGCTTAATATTTTTATGGAAATTGTAGCTTTTTTTCAGGATTCTTTGAGGAATAGAAAGCTCAAAAGAACAGCATTTATTTTAAATGCAAAAGTTTTAAATGTCTTTACTGCTACTTTTGATAAATTGAATGCACCCTTGCTGAATAAAAGTATACTTTATTTAAAAAAAGAATCATACTGACCCCAAATTTTTGAACAATAGAGCATCTATATCTACACATCTTTGTGAAAGCCACAAGATACTATACATATTATATATACTATACATTTACATAAACGGTACCGCAACTTTTTATTTATATTCAGCCTGGACATCATTAATGCCTTAATTTAAAATGACATAATTTCTCTAATGTCATCAATCAAAAGCATAAAAGCTGTGGGATCCACACTAGTGGGGCTTTGTGCCATGTTGCTATAGTTAGTTCAGTATGGTTTTAAAAAAGCAGATTCTTACCAGTTTACTGTAATGGTACTTGCAGTATCCACAGTATTTCACATTATCAGCATCTGAGCCCTGTTCTTCACACAACAACCCAGCAAACTGAGCGCTATATTCAAAGACAGACAAAAAGCAACTTTAGAAAGATTGTACACAATGCATATTAAAAATGTGTAATATTTAACCATTTTTATATTAATTAAAACTATTATTATATCAGTTTCAATAAATTACAGGGAAGTCTGTTGCATTTAACATGTCTTCCTATCCATTTAACAGATGGCATTATTAAGGACAATAACATGCTTATGAGGACGTTTAGCTGGAATATTAGGGCTTTGCAACTCACCATGTGACATGAAAGGCTTGTCGGCAGCCATGTTTGTTGCATGTCATGCAGGCTCCAGTAGCAGCTTTGCTCTCACGGCCCTGTTCCTCACAGATGTAGCATGTCTAGATAGAAAAAAAAACAGTCACCAAAGTGACTCTATGGTACATTGCTGCATGGCCCACAGCTTGTTTAATGTGAAGGCTCTACCAATTTAACAAGTCTCTCAAAAGCCGCCCTTCCCAGCGCCTCGATTATTAGGCAAGTGATAACCATGCCATTTTAAATTGGCTCACAGTGAGGACTCAATTACCAACAGAGCCGAATCTATTTTATCCCAGATTTTAAACCCACTATTTCAAGCATGAGATTAAACTTGGCTCCTTAGTCCTGCAAGTCATCAGACACACTACTGAATCCAAATCATATAACACTAACTGATTGTATGTTACTTATCTACTGCGTTGAAGGGCATCCATAGAAAACAAAACATAATTAGGTTTTCAAATGAAAAATTAAAGAATGGTGTCATGATGGCATATCCCATTAGTACTTGATTGAACATTGTTTTCTTTACCCTCACGGTTGAGCGAAAATTTTTAAAGCTAACATCTAAACATTTGGACTTTGCAATTATTCTTGAGTTACAGTGATGCACAGGAATCCAACCAGCAGTAGTAAAAACCTACACCTGCAAGTATTTAATATACAATTTAATATTCACTCTAACAATTTCCATGACTTTTAATACTTTTTCAGGCTTGGAATTGACAACTTAAAAAAATTCTCTGGTATTTGAGGATATCCATTGACAAATAAATTTGGTTGATTCTTTTAAAATTCAGACCGTAAGTGTAAATTCCCATAACATGGATCTCAGTTTTCATTCATTCAGCTTTGGTGCAGAATTAATGGCAACATTCTATGTTTATCTAAGATTGATAAATGTAGCACTTGGTCCCTTAAGAAAACACATTCACAGTATAGACCTAAACTGCTTGCATACTGTTTACATTGTTGAGCTGATTTATGAGGCTCTTATGTTGAGCCTTTGCTTTCCTATTGTTATCCAGGCTATCAGCGTGTGCCTTTCAGTGGTCAGGGAACTTACCTTACTATAACGTTCATGAGGGACAGACTGAAGCACAATGGGCTCCATGGTGGATACGTTGGCGAACTCCACTTCTGGGATGTAAAGAGCACAAACCACATGGGCCCAACCTAAACAAGACACATTGACATATGATCAGTAGATGTTAAATAAAGAGGCTAAGACTGAATTATTCCTTTATTTCTATGCAGACTTGCTGTGAAGCTGGAACTGGGTTTAACAGCATAAAAAAACAACTGGCTAAATGTATTAAGATTATTATAAATGGATAAGCGAAACAATTTTTTTAACTTAATTTTACAAATTACTTAAATATAATTTAGTGATTTTTCATATAAAACAATTGAATAATTTAAAATTAGTATTATTATTATTAATACAAATATTTAAATAAATTGTTTAGTTATTATTTTTATTAATCAAAGCAGTAACTAAATCAGCATACTATCATCACAAAAACATTGCAAGAATGAGATGTTTTGTTTCCAGTCAAGACTTGGAGAAACTTGTTCATGCCTTTATCACCAGCAGGGTGGACTATTGAAATGGTCTCCTCACCGGCCTTCCCAAGAAGACCATTAGACTGCTGCAGCTCATCCAGAATGCTGCTGCCAGAATTCTGACTAGAACCAGAAAATCTGAGCATATTACACCAGTCCTCAGGTCCTTACACTGGCTTCCAGTTATATTTAGGATTGATTTTGAAGTACTTTTACTCGTTTATAAATCACTCAATGGCCTAGGACCTAAATACATAGCAGATATGTTCACTGAATATAAACCTAACAGACCACTCAGATCAAGTCAGTTAGAAATACCAAGAGTTCACACAAAACAAGGGGAGTCCGCTTTTAGTTATTATGCCGCCCGAAGTTGGAACCAGCTTCCAGAAGAGATCAGATGTGCTAAAACATTAGTCACATTTAAATGCAGACTCAAAACTCATCTGTTTAGCTGTGCATTTATTGAATGAGCACTGTGCGATGTCCGAACTGATTGCACTATATTTTATGTATAATCGTTTTCTTAAATTCATTTTAAACCTCTTACATCAATTTTTTAAATTCCTTGTTTTATTGTTGTGATTATTTTTTTCTTTTCTTTTATGTAAAGCACTTTGAATTACCATTGTGTATGAAATGTGCTATACAAATAAACTTGCCTTGCCTTAATATTTTTTTTTATTAAAATGAAGATGCTAAAAGATGGATAATGCCAAACAGGAGGCCCTCATATTTAACACATTATCTGTTTTTATTTTGTTTTCAAATGTATTCGAGACCATGGTCATTTGTTTGCTCATAGTCATGCCTATGGGGCATGCCTGGCTTCCTCCACAGTGTGAAAAACACTTATTAAAGCATGTGGGCTGAGTGTGACTGCAAAGACGAAAGACCCAGAACTGGAAGAGGCAGAGGCATATTCTCTCCTGCTTAGCGTCTAGACCAAGTGTTGAACCTAGGGTGTCAGTCAAAAGCACACTACACAAATATAATATCATTATTTCAGGCTACTACTAAACCTTTTCTCCCACATCAGCTGCCTTTTAACCACAAAACCCCCAAACTGCGAGGATTTAAATTGAATGACCATATTCTGTGATATGTTTGTTAGAGGAGAGCAGATGCTATTGATATCAAGTTGAAATTAACCTTAAAAGAAATAAGCAAATGAGTTCTGTTTAACCAGCATAAGGGCACAATAACAGGTCTAAACTTAAAGGTGAACCCATGAACTGTCTTTGACCCCAGCCTAAAGGGATAGGGAGGTGGGTTTTGTTGTTTTGAAGTTCCTCCAAGAATCCAGCAGAAGCCTATAAAACCAGGCAATAAAACCCAAGCACACCCCAAATAACTTCTAAACCCCTCAAGACAGAAGGGTGGCACACTTAAAAAGAGAATGATTTGCCAAAGATGTCTTTAGCTGAGCATAAAGTACTCAAATAATCTTGTTCTTCATATTCTAGTTAAGACAGAATAACTGAAAACCTTTGAACTAAAGCAACAATTAAAAAAACTGAAAGGAACTACCAGGGAGGCTGGTCTATAGTATGAACTCTTCAGAAGGCTCCCTGTGAAGGAAAGGGGGTGGGTTTTTTCAGTTTTCATTTTCCTTGCATGTGTTTCAACACATGTTGTTAGCCCAGGTATATTCCGTGTTTTCATTTGGGATTATTCTTGTGTTTGCATAATTTAGCAGAAGTAACACCTGTAAAAACCTCTCCATGTGCTGGTCACTACTGCCAAGTTTCACTCCTCAGCTGGCCGAAATGTATAGATATCTTAAAAGCACCTCACGGACACCTACATCTCACTTCTGGGATCGCTGCTGGTTCAAATAAATACTTTCTAAAATTTATGTTTCAGAAATCTTCACTCCTACTCATAATGGCAAAACTTGGAATGTTTATCTCAAAGAATTTCAAAAGGTTTTACAAATTCAGAGCAAAAAAAGAGATTACATGGTCTGAAACATTTAAACCATAAGCCTGGGGCAATGATGTTTCCCTCATGGCCGTTAAAAAGCTCACCAGCCCTAAAGATGGGGCATGGTCCTGCAGTTGTGTCCCATGCCATGTTTACAGTCTCTGAGCTGCCCTTGCCGTGAACCCGGAGCATGAAGAAGAGGAGACTCCCCTCAGCCCCATAATGACCCCGCTGAGACCGCCCACCCATAAAAACAAGGTGAGAGATAAACACCCACACTTCCTAACCCCCTTTCCTGAATTACTTAAAATAAACAAAAATCTGCAAATTATGTGCGAAAAAATTATTTAAAACTCTTGGTTCATTAGAAAACAGCAGTTTTACATATATAGACTTTACTTGGGCCCGGGCCGCCCAGGTATATTTGGAGAAAGATTTTTGCTTTTATTATTTTTATCCGCCCGAAATAATGAAACCATCCGCGATCGAAAACTAGTGGAAGAACATAAATCGCGATACAGCCTATTTATTATTAACCTTCAAAAAGCTATGATTTCATTAAAAAACTCGAGTTGATGAATTATGACAATATCTACTTTATGGCCCTTTTTATAATATACTTTAGACGGTTGTAAGAATGCTTATTTTATCTCTCATCTGAAGGAACAGCCCGCAATAGTGTAGACATTTCAAAATAAGAGTCCCAGTGTATTTCGGGGTTTTTAATAATTAAAAGTCACATTTCTTTTTATTTTTCTGGGCATTATTGATATTTTGGTTACACAAACTGTATTTAATTTAATTTCCATTTAATTCATATTGAACTATTGTAGTTTCTGGCTGGGATGCTTCCACAAAGGAAGAAAAGACAAAACATTATTTGACACATTATTCAATATATAGATTTTACTAGTATTAGTCAAATCTGTGTCCCACTCACTGAGAGAGACACTATATGACAAAGCAAGGAGAAAACTCTACCATTTAAATGCTGTAATTTTGCATAATTTACAACACATAATAATGCATCATATGAGTATGTAATTAAATTCAATAGTAGCCTATGTAATTAAAATGAATTTCAATAAATAAAAATATTGTTAAAAACCTCACATTATTTGTTATTTGTCACATGTAGTGGACCATTTTTGTGCCGTGGGTCATAGGAGGATTTTCAACCCATACATATCTATGTTCTACACTAGGGCTGGGTATCGTTCAAAAATTTTCGATATCGATACCTTGACTTCGATACAGGTTCCTGAACGATAGTTTTTTCGAAACCAATTTTATGGAATCAATTTGAACAAGATTACATTTTCTAAAAAAAAAAAAAAAAACTTTGGTTTTATTTTTCAGCTTGTTGATGTTTATACAAACTCAAAGACTCAACTCCTGAGCCACTGCACAAAGGAACAAAATGTAAACCAAAATGTAAACCAACACAATAAATCAGTGCAAAATAGTTAATAAAGCTCAAAT